ATAATGCTCATGATCTTGCATTAAATGTTACTTCCCGTTCATGGACATTGTGTGAAGTCTTCTTTGTTTTGCATGCAGAAATTTCTGAATTTAGCAAGGGCCCAGTAATCTTTTTGTCCTTTTCTAGTTATGTAGCTGTATAGTGTAGCCCTTATCTGAAAAAGTGATGTACTTTTTCTGACATGTGCATGCTTTTGCTTTTGAATGTTTTTCTTCTTCCTCTTCTCTTTGTTGATTACGTGTTCACGTTGAGAGCTTTCATTTGATCATAGACGATGCCTTAGTAGTCCTTTAAGACTTGATTCTTTAAGTATTGGCATGGTAGTCTTCATCTGCATCTATTAATCTTATGTGTCTCATGTCTTTTTCTTCACCTGAGTATTTGACGTTGATTCTTTGACTTCTTCTATGATCTGGTTAATGTTGTGGATGGATAGATTTTGTTTTCGTTTGGAATATCTTTCTGTGTTATCCTAAGTCTAATGCTTGATTGACTTTCTTCTGACCTTTGACTCGTGCTTCGTCTAATTTACGCTTTCGAGCAGTTGCACTTGACATTTTTGTGTTTGCGTTGTAGGTTGTTCTTGAAAGTTTAACAAATATCATATAAATGAATAGCTCCTCCGAATTTATATTTTATACATACAATGATTTAAATATACATATTTATTAGAATAAAAACTTATTTTTAAAATATATTATTTTTTTGAATAAATAAAATTGTGTATGTGTAAAGTAGTAGTCGGGGCAAGTTCCCCCACTATGTTGTAAGTAGATACGTCATTGGGAATCAACATCAGAAATATAAAGAAATTGGGTTATGGATTCTGGATGTACCTATCACATGTGTCAAATGAAGGATTGCTTTAGACTTTTAACTCAAAGAAAGTGGAATGGTGCTTCTTGGTAACAACAAAGCTTGTAATGTGCAAGGTACAAGTATTGTTCATTTGAGAATGTTTGATAACCGTGATATTTTATTAGAAGATGTGAGGTATGTCCCTAAGTAGTACTTAAGAGGAATCTTCTGTCATTAAGCATGTTTGATGGTTTGGGTTATTCTACTAAAACTAAACATGGTATGATGAAGATCTCCAATAGTGCCCTAATAGTTGCTAAGGAAACTAAAAGGAATGATTTGTACATTCTTGATGATTATATTGTTATTGTTCATGCATCTGTAGCAGGTCAAACTCTACCAATAAAACAAAATTATGGTATTTAAGGCTTGGACATGTCAATGAAAAAGGTTTGATGTGATGGCTTCCTCCTTCCATGGTTGATATTAGTGTGTTGAAGGGGAAGACCTTGCCCTTGATCTAGGCTCACCAAAGGTAGACAAAAGGAGGTTTATGGTGGACAAAGGATTTTAGGCGTGAAAGGATGTAGGGTGGCAGAAGTGTTTGGTGAATGGTGTATGTTTGCTCAAGGTTGGCTCACTCCAAGTGTAGGTGGAGGCCACTCTAGGGTTTCACTCTCCAAGGGTGGAAAATGAAGGGGGATAGCCGAAACTAACCTAGGGACTAAGGATAGGATTTGAGGCAAAGAAATGCTCTCTCAAATTCATATAATCCAAAGTATTTACAAGTGGTGGGGTGTTGGGTATTTATAGGAGGGGAGGCATCTAGGGTTTCATTTGGGACATGCATGGCCGAAATTCATAAGGCAAATGCACTCCAAATGAAATGCCAAATGAACCCTAGATGCAACTTGGTGACCAAGGATAGAATCTATGGGTCTAGATTGGCTACAACTAGGTGCATGATAAGACCATGCAACTTTTGCCCTCCACTTGGGCCTAAGCCTTTCTATCACCAAAAATAGATTCAATGCTCACCAAAATAGGCGTCACCCTTCTAATGTGATACCCTAGCCCAAATTAAAAACCTAATCATCTAGAGCACCCCTTAATACAAGGGTAAAATTTGAAATACAAAGAAAATAATTTCTAAGACTAAAATACCCCAAAATACAAGGGTAAATTTGGAATAAAACAAAATTATGGTATTTAAGGCTTGGACATGTCAATGAAAAAGGTTTGATGGAACTAGAAAAACAAAATTTATTGAATGGTGATAAATTGGATAAACTAGAGTTTTTGTGATCATTACATATTAGAAAAATCTCATAAGGTTAGGTTGAGATTGGTATGCATGTTTCTGGTAGATCCTTTAAGTGTGTTCACTCAGATTTGTAAGGTCCTTCAAGGGTGAAAATTCATAAAGGTCTCTATTTTCTCATATGATTGATGATTTTTTAAGAAAGGGGTGAATTTATATTTTGAAAAATAAATCACAAAATTTTAGAAAATTGTTTTTTTTACTAGTGATTAAAAAAGTATTTTCATAAGTTCATTCATATATCAAAATGAGAAATAGTAACCCTCTTTTTAGAAATAATTTAAAAGAAAAGAAAAGACAGTAAGATATTAATTTACGTATGTATGCTTTTACTTCTTTAATTCTATATTCTATAACTTTTAAGAGAAAATTCAACCAAATAATTACTTGTAACAAAAAAAAAAATCAATTATCTTACATTGACACTTATGCTTATTGCCTATTCAACTTTCATGTATGTAAGATGAAGTGTGGGTTTGAGGGGTTACCCCTAGTCCCAGTTGTTAGGAGTGTTAAAAGAAGAAATAAAATATAATAAAAATTTTAAAAATGTCGTGGCCGCCTTAAACAAAAGACCACAAATACTTAACTTGAACCTAGAGAACACCATTTTGAACATGTATATATTATTTGAGATTAATTAAAATATGACTTTAGTTGACAGATCTGAACGTAGTTCTAATTTATTATTCAGTGTTCATTTGACACGTGCAAATATAAAATAAAGATTTCAGTAGTTTAGTTGGCAATAGCCCACTTCAATTCTTGCTAAAGTTGTTTAGACACAAATAATTGTCTGTAAAAACGTTCTCACATATTTTAATGCAGTTGAGTATCACTATGGTTTAATTGATATTTAATTAATCGATGTTGTAGCTTCAAAACAAAGCCTAAGTTTTATTATTATTAGTAGTAGTATTATTAAGAGATATTTTCGGCCGAAAATAGAAACGATTCTTTTCAAAAATTTGACAATAATTAAATAAGTACACATTTCTATTCAACTTCAATTTTTTTACATTTCTAAAATTAGAAATTCCAACATTAGTAACCTAAGTCATTTGATTTTATATATGTGTTCACTCTTGAAATTTGAAAGAATCAACCCAAATTAATTGTTGTATTATTTATGAAAAAAGGGAAACCCATATATAATGATTATTAATGTATAGTAATTACATTTTTTTAATTAGGTGATATTACCCTATGTACATCAAAATTAAACTATATTTTTATTCATATATAAAAATTAATATTTTTCATTGGAGGTAATTGTTCGAGTATTTAAATTTTCATTTTTAAAAATTATAACGTCAGATTTATATTTTAACCTTTTGACACATTTTATAAGCTTTTATGTCGAATTAAATTTATATTTTTCTTGAATTAATTATCCAATTAAAATAAAATTTTAATTTATTTAATTAGTTCTTAAATTTTTTTATTAACATAAATTATAATAAGATATTTATACATACTAGTAATATAACAATATAATATACCACTAATTAAAATAATTTTTAAAGCTTTATAAAATTAAAATTTAGAATATTTATATTTTTATATTTTATTTTATAGATTTATCCTTAATAAAATAATTTTAAGAATGATATGTTTTATATTTTACTTATATTTTTAAGAGATATTGACTAGTTTTGTTTTATACGTATATTTAAACAATTGTTCGTAAATGAAGCGTTACTGAGTATTCAATGTAAATGTTAAATATTATATATATATATATAT